CCCCCCCCGCTCCTCTGCCTGCCTCTCTGCTTATTCGTGATCTCTGTCAAATAAATAAATAAAATCTTAAAAAAAAAAAATCAGCCTGAGAGCCTCATATCAGTAGGTTTGGAGAGGATGCAATATTGTGTTCTCTGCAGTTCAGATGGCTTTTTTGGCAGATGAGATCTTTTTCACAAGCCAGAGCACATCTATTGTTTTTAATACTATTAAAGTTTTGTAGGACTGTTTTAAATTATTTACAGTTTAACCTTATTAATTCTGACTACTTAGAAAGAGGGCTAATCTTAACTAGAAAAATGTATGTTTATTTTAAAACTCTTAATAACAAGTTCAGCTGATTGTGTTCCCTTGAGGATGTCCTTGGAGGGCTTTTTTTCAGGAATCCTTAATTAGTATAAGTACTATTTGCAAGTAAATAGTTCTATTATTTTTTAATGATTCTCAGGAAAATATTGTTCTCTTCTGTTTAAAGAATTCTCTCTGTAATCTTTTCTCCAGAAAGAAATTAGGGTTATCTAAGCCAATGCTCCTCAAACTTTAGCATTCATCAGCCTTAGCTGTGAAAATGCAGATTTCTGGGGCCTGCCTCAGGGTTTCTGATTCAGTAGGTGTGCTGTGGGCCCAAGAATGCATGTTTCATTTTTTTTAAAAATTTTATTTATTTATTTGTCAGAGAGAGAGAGAGAGAGAGAGAGCGCACGTGCACAGGCAGACAGAGTGACAGCAGAGGCAGAGGGAGAAGCAGGCTCCCCGCCAAGCAAGGAGCCTGATGTGGGACTCGATCCTGGGACGCTGGAATCATGACCTGAGCTGAAGGCAGCGGCTTAACCAACTGAGCCACCCAGGCGTCCCAAGAATGCATGTTTCTAACAAGATCCTGAGTCTCCCCAATGGTGCTGGGCCGAGGGTCACACTTTTGAGAACCACCAACCTAAGCAGAGATGACCTTAAGTCATCTTAAGGGTCTGTATTTTGTCTTCCAAAATAGCTGCTAACCAAATCATGATAAATTTTGTATTGGTAAACTCTGAATGAATTAGCACAACTGTATAGAAGTTTATCACAGTACGTTATTTTTTGTTTTGAGCTTTCTTAAAAGAAAAAGTAAAGTTCTTTGTTTTATCTTGACAAATCAATTTCTTTAATATCCCCAAATCATCCTTACTCTGCTTTTAGTTTTGCTTTTATGAATTCTAGGTATGTTTTCTCAAAAGTATGGTCTGGTATATCTATGAGGTCAAAGTATTTTCATAGTAATAGGAAGATGTTGTGAGCCTGCTACTCTCATTTTCACAAGTGCTTCCAGTGTAATTTTCTAGAAACTGTGTGTCATTCATTGCTTTTATGTCTGACCAATGTATGAAGCAGATGTGAGGATTTTGCTGTCTTCTATGAAGTCAGCATTATAGATATTTACAAAAATATAAACAGTGCAACTCTTTTCATGAATTTTTTCTTTTGGAAAATGTGCTAATTTCATATTAAAATTGTTACTTATATTTATACAAGGGATTTATTGTTATTTGAAGGGATAAGTAAGCAAATTTTTAAGTGTTCTCGGTTGTAATATCTAACAATAAATATTGGTAGATATAACCCACATAAACAAAAGCCTTTTAGGATTCTCAAAATTTTTGAATCTATAAAGGGGTCCTGAGAATCCAAAGTTTAAGAACCACAGCTCAGAGGGTTTTTTTTTTAAATAAATTTAACATTTATCTATACAAATTTAAATTTGAGTGCCATGTTTTTAGGGCTGCTCAGAGGTTTTGGGGTTTTTCCCCCATTTTTTCTTTTTTTTTTAATTTAAATTCAATAATTAACATATAAGGTATTATTTATTTCAGGGATACAGGTCTGTGATTCATCAGTCTTATATAACACCCAGTGCTCATTACATCATGTGTTCTCCTTAATGTCCATCACCCAGTTACCCCATCCCCCCAACCCATTCCCCTCCAACAACCCTTTGCGTCTATGATTGAGAGTCTCTTATGGTTTGTCTCTTTCTCTGATTTTGTCTTGTTTCATTTTTTCCTCTCTTCTCCTATGATCTCTGCCTTGTTTCTTAAATTCCACATATCAGTGAGATCATATGATAATTGTCTTTCTCTGATTGACTGATTTCTCTTAGCATAATACTCTCTAGTTCCATCCATGTCATTGCAAATGGCAAGATTTCATTTTTTGATAGCTGCGTAGTATTCCATTGTGTGTGTGTGTGTGTGTGTGTGTGTGTGTGTGTGTGTACACATCACATCTGATTTATCCATTCATCTGTCAATGGACATCGGGGCTCTTTCTATAGTTTGGCTATTATGGACTTTGCTGCTATAAACATTGGGGTGCACATGCCCCTTTGGATCACTTCGTTCCTATCTTTAGGATAAATATCCAGTAGTGCAGTTGCTGGGTCACAGGGTATCTCTATTTTCAACTTTTTGAGGAAACTCCATACTGTTTTCCAGAGTGGCTGTACCATGTTGCATTCCCACCAACAGTGTAGGAGGGCTTCCCTTTCTCTGCATCCTCTGGAACACCTGTCATTTCCTGACTTGTTAATTTTAGCCATTCTGACTGGTGTGAGGTGGTATCTCACTATGGTTTTGATTGTATTTCCCTGATGCCAAGTGATGTTGAGCAATTCTTCATGTGTCTGTTGGCCATTTAGATATCTTCTTTGCAGAAATGTCTGTTCATGTCTTCTGCCCATTTCTTGATTAGGTTATTTGTTCTTTGGGTGTTAAGTTTGCTAAGTTCTTTATAGATTTTGGATACTAGCCCTTTATCCAATATGTCGTTTGCCTTTTGTTAGTTGCCTTTTGGGTTTTTTTTTTTTTTCACTCTTTACTTTGCTGCACAAAAGCTTTTTATCTTGATGAAGTTCCAATAGTTCATTTTTGCCTGTGTTTCTCTGGTCTTTGGAGATGTGTCTAGCAAGAATTTGCTGTGCCCAGGGTCAAAGAGGTTGCTGTCTGAGTTCTCCTCGAGAATTTTGATGGATTCCTGTCTCACATTTAGGTCTTCCATCCATTTTGACTCTATTTTTGTATATGGTGTAAGGAAGTGGTTCAGTTTCATTCTTTTGCCTGTGGCTATCCAATTTTCCCAACACCATTTGTTGAAGAGACTGTCTTTTTTTCACTGGATATTCTTTCCTGCTTTGTTGATGATTAGTTGACCATAGAGTTGAATGTCCATTTCTGAGTTCTCTGTTCTTTTCCATTTATCTGTGTGTCTGTTTTTGTGCCAGTACCATGCTGTCTTGATGATGACAGCTTTGTAATAGAGCTTGAAGTCTGGAATTGTCACACCACCAGCTTTGATTTTCTTTTTCAACATTCCTATGGCTATTTGGGGACTCTTCTGGTTCCATACAAATTTTAGGATTATTTGTTCCAACTCTGTGAAAAAAAGTTAATGGTATTTTGATAGGAATTGCATTGAATGTGTAGGTCGCTCTAGGTTGCATAGACATTTTCACAATATTTGTTCTAATCCATGAGCATGGAACATTTTTCCATTTCTTTGTGTCTTCCTTAATTTCTTTCATGAGTATTCTATGGTTTTCTGAGTATAGGTCCTTTGCCTCTTCAATTAGGTTTATTCCTGGATATCTTATGGTTTTGGGTGTAACTATAAATGGGACTGACTCCTTGATTTCTCTTTCTTCTGCTTAATTGTTGGTGTAAAGAAATGCAACTGATTTCTGTGCATTGATTTTATATCCTGCCACTTTACTGAATTCCTGTATGAGTTCTAGCAATTTTGGGGTGGGGTCTTTTGGGTTTTCCACATAGAGTATCATGTCATCTGCAAAGAGGGAGAGTATGACTTCTTCTTTGCCAATCCAGATGCCTTTTATTTCTTTTTGTTTGCTGATTGCTGAGGCTAGGATTTCTAGTACCGTGTTGAACAGCAGTGGTTACAGTGGACAGCCCTGCTGTGTTACTGACCTTAGGGGAAAGCCGTCCATTTTTTCCCATTGAGCATGATATTCTCTGTGGGTTTTTCATAGGTGGCTATTATGATATTGAAGTTTGTACCCTCCATCCCTACACTGTGAAGAGTTTTAATCAAGAAAGGATGCTGTTCTTGTCAAATGCTTTTTCTGAATCTGTTGAGAGAATCATATGGTTCTTGTCCTTTCTTTCATTTATGTATTGTATCACATTAATTGATTTGCAGTTGTTGAACCAACCTTGCAGCCCAAGAATAAATCCCACTTGGTCAGGGTGAATAATCTTTTTAAAGTAGTGTTAGATCCTCTTGGCTAGTTATTTTGGTGAGAATTTTACATCCATGTTCATCAGGGACATTGGTCTGTAATTCTCCTTTTTTTGTGGTCTTTGTCTGGCTTTAGGATCAAGGTAATGCTGGCCTCATAGAATGAGTTTGGAAGTTTTCCTTCTATTTTGATTTTTTGAAACAGCTTCAGAAGAGTAGGTATTAATTCTTCTTTAAATGTTTGGTAGAATTCCCCTGGGAAGCCATCTGGCCCTGGGCTCTTGTTTGTTGGGAGATTTTTGATTACTGCTTCAAATTCCTTGCTGGTTATGGGTCCGTTCAGGTTTTCTATTTCTTCCTGGCTTAGTTTTGATAGTTTATATGTCTCTAGGAATGCATCCCTTTCTTCCAGATTACCTAATTTGTTGGCATAAAGTTGCTTATAATATGGTCTTATAATTGTATTTCTTCAATGTTGGTTGTGATCTCCTCTTTTATTCATGATTTTATTAATTTGGGTCTTTTCTATTTTCTTTTTGATAAGTCAGGCCAGGGGTTTATCAATCTTCTTAATTCTTTCAAAGAACCAGATCCTAGTTTCATTGATCTGTTCTACTGTTTTTGTTTTGGATTTCTACTTCATTGATTTCTGCTCTAATCTTTATTATTTCTCTTCTCCTACTAGGTTTAGACTTCATTTGCCGTTCTTTCTCCAGCTCCTTTAGATGTCAGGATATGCTGTGCATTTGAGACCTTTCTCTTGAGAAAGGCCTATAGTGCTATATATTACCCTCTTAGGACAGCCTTTGCTGTATCCCACAGATTTTGAACAGTTGTGTTTTCATTTTCATTTGTTTATGTGAATTTTTTAAATTCTTCTTTTATTTCCTGGTTTACCCATTCATTCTTTAGTAGGATGCTCTTTAGCCTCCATGTATTTAAATTCTTTCCAACTTTTCTCTTGTGATTGAGTTCCAGTTTCAAAGCATTGTGGTCTGAAAATATGCAGGGAATGATCCCAATCTTTTGGTACCAGTTGAGACCTGATTTGTGACCCAGGGTGTGATCTGTTCTGGAGAATGTTCCATGTGCACTTAAGGAGAATGTGTATTCTGTTGCTTTGGGATGTAATGTTCTGAATATATCCATGATGGCCATCTGGTCCAGTGTGTCATTTAACACCTTTATTTCTTTGTTGATCTCTTGCTTAGATGATCTGTCCATTTCAATGAGAGAGGGTGTTAACATCCCCTACTATTATTGTATTATTGTTGATGAGTTTCTTTGATTTTTTTATTAATTGGTCTATATAATTGGCTGCTCCCATGTTAGGGGCATAGATATTTACAATTATTAGATCTTCTTGTTGAAAAGATACTTCAGTTATGATATGATGTCCTTCCTCATCTCTTATTACAGTCTTTGGCTTAAAATCTAGTTTTTCTGATATAAGGATTTCCATCCAGCTTTCTTTTGATGTCCATTAACATGATAAATCATTTTCCACCCCCTTCCTTTCAACCTGGAGGTGTCTTTGGGTCTAAAATGAGCCTCTTGCAATTAGCCTATCAATGGGTCTTGCTTTTTTATCTATTCTGATACCCTGTGTCTTTTGATTGGGGCATTTAGCCTATTTACATTCAGAGTAACTATTGAAAGATATGAATTTAGTGCCATTGTATTGCCTGTAAATTGTCTCTGTTCCTTTCTGGTCTGTGTTAGTTTTGGGCTCTCTCTTTGCTTAGATGACCCCTTTTAATATTTCTTGTAGGGTTCGTTTGGTGATCACAAATTCTTTTAGTTTCTGGTGTTTTTTTGGAAGCTTTTTAGCTCTCTATTTTCAGTGACATCCTAGCCAGATAAAGTATTCTTGGCTGCATATTTTTTCTTGTTTACCACCCTCGCTCAGAATTTTTAAGAGTTATATTTAATTCAGCATTTAAAGAGAGCAACCCAGATTCTTTATCTTTATCCTGACATGTCTGAATTGTGTACACATAGGATTCTAATTTGTTCCTGAACTGTTCACCTGGTGAAAAAAGCCTGAGTCCCCCAGATGTGAAAAGGACTTCTCAGCTGGTCTCCAAAATTCACAGTGTTCCGACTCTGATGGTAGGACTTCTCACATCCCAAGTAATTTTTAAAAATTCATATTTTTTATTGAGGGAGGGAGAAATATCGAGGTCAGACTAAACCAAAGAGGTAATCTAAAGACACAGAGTTAAGTTATGAGATCAAAAACTGGAAGAACCTTCATTTAATACTTTTCACATGTCCTAGAAACTCTATCAGAGCAGTAGTCTTGTCTGGCTGAGTCTGCTCCTAGTGATTGCTAAGTGTTCCTATCAGCAAGCTGCTCACCCAATCCAAAATTTAGCTTTGGGGCAGAGGGAGGGCAGTAGGGAGTTGTGTACATTGGTGGAATAAAGAACGAAGTTGGTGTCAGGTGAGTTCAAATCCTGCTTCACCACTTCCTGGCTGTGTGACTTGGCCAAGTGACTTTATGTTTATCAGCCTTAGCTTCCTCTTCCTAAGTAGGAGAAATGATACTTGCCACTGCCCTGGGAGGTGACAAGCACTGCATTTAACGAGAGAGCATATTACAGGGCATGGCCATATGCTAGCTTCTCAAATGAGCTATTATTTTTCGTCCTCTTCTATTAATGTCCATCTTTCTGATTTTTTTAAAGATTTTATTTATTATTTATTTGACAGACAGAAATCACAAGTAGGCAGAGAGGCAGGCAGAGAGAGAAGAAGGGAAGCAGGCTTCCTGCTGAGCAGAGAGCCCGATGCAGGACTCGATCTCAGGACCCTGGGATCATGACCTGAGCCGAAGGCAGAAGCTTTAACCCACTGAGCCACCCAAGCGCCCCTCTGATTTTTTTTTTAAATTGATTTGAGAGAGAGCAAGGAAGAGAGAGAGTATGAGCAAAGGGTAGGGGCAAAGGAGAGGAAGAAGCAGACTCCCCAATGAGCAGGGAGCCTGAAACAGAACTCATCCCAGGACCTGAGCCCAAGGCAGATGCTTAACCAACTGAGCCACCCGGATTCACCATTTCTTTGATCTTAAGTACAGTCATCTGAGCCAAAATTGGGGGGGCATGGTCTGTGATGTTCCTGACCCAACACAATGCTTATTTTTATTGAGTTTCAGCTAAAGTTTGTTGAACACTAGCATTTATTTAGTGCTAAAACTGAGCCAAGCATTTTATGCAGAAGATCACGAAGTGGTGGCCCACCGACTATATCCACCTGAAATTTTGTTTTTACACATGTGAGTCTGAATGTGGCACAGACTCTTCTTAGCTACAAACCTTCCCATCCCACTTTGTTCCTTTGAACATTTGCTTACTCACCATAAGGCTTGGTTCCCCACCCCCCACCTATGTCACTGGAGGCTGCTATTCTTTCTGCCTTATTTGCAGGCTGCTGCTTCTCTGTCACACCTCTTAAGGAAAAATGTGTCCTCAGCCCTCCTGTCAGTCTCATCCCACATCAAACAAACATCATGTTTGCTTGTTCTGGGTCTCCCACACCCACTAGAACGGAAGCCTTCAACATCAGAGACTTGGTACATTGTATGCCTTGTCCCTAAGATAGGTTGAACCCTTAATCAGCACTCAACCTGTCCTTGAAGACTGCTTCCTGCTTTTCATGGGTTATCTCCTTCAGTCCTTATACCATTCTTTATATCATCAGGCTTTTTTTTTTTAATGGAAAAAATAAAAATAAAATAAAAATAAATAAAACAATAAAATAAAATAAAACATGGAAAAACAAACTGAGGCTTAGATCAGTCAGGTTTCTTATCCAAAGTCTCACATAGGATGAAACAGCAGAACTCAGATACAAACTCAGGCAGTCCAACTAATGCACACATTTTTGACCCTGAGGTTATACATACAAATACCTTCATTCTGGGTACCCTTGAAATATCTGGAGTTTCAGTGTTGTTGAGGATATCTGGTTACTCTGGTGTCAGATAGAGCAATTTGGCTAAAGTTTGGATTTTTAAACTGACCAGGCTAGGCTAAGCAGGATGTATGTGTGAATGTGAAAGCATGTATTGTTATTATAGATGGGTATTAACTTCCCAGCGATTATACTAGTCTGTCCCAATAACAGCTTATATACATATGTGAATCTGTAAGAATTCTTTCCACACTAACCCTTTACTGGATGTCTTACGAGTAATTGAAGAATTGGGTTCAATATTTTATCTCTTTTGCTTTGGTCACTTATTCTGGAAATTTTGTGTGTGTGTTTTCTGTCTTCCCTTTAGCTTTACTGAAAACTTTTTAATACAGTTCTCAAACTGTTCCTCTTAGGACATCACCACTCCCGACGTTGAACATTTCAAAGAGAGTGAGAAAGTTAGTGATACGATGCTACAAAAATTGAAGCAGTTCCATCTTAAGAAGAAAAGTTTAGATAAAGAGGTACTGTATTTATTGTATCATGTTTGGTGAAGAAATCCAAGACAAAGATAACATCAAAGTATAAAGAAATTATGCAAATTTGGGATTTTTTTAAAAAGAGTTGTTTTGGGCAGGGCACTTGGGTAGCTCAGTTGGTTAAACATCTGACTCTTGGTTTCCACTCAGGACATAATCTCAGGGTCATGAGATTGAGACCCATGTCAGGCTTCTTGCTCAGCTTCCGGGTCTGCTTGAGATTCTCCCTCTCCCTCTGCCCCTCCTGCTCATTCTCTCTCTCTCTCTCTCTCTCTAAAATAAAATACGATAGCAAGATGTTAATTTGTGCCACTTTTAATGTGAGAGGAATACAGAAGTGGCAAGTTTATCAGTTAATGGAATAAAAACATCGTCAAATATGGGATCTTTGATTGTAGAAACAAATTCAGTCCGATGTTATGAGGAAATTATTTCTCTGAACTGAGGTGGATAGAAAATTTGTTATGGATACTCTGGGGAGTCTCTTTGTCTCCTAGCTAACCTGATGAAGGAATAACAGATACACAGAGAAAATACTGTCCTCCATTTCTTAAACCAACCCTCAAAAATAAGCCCCATTGAGGGTTGGAGCAGGATGTTACAGAAACACAATTTCAGATATTTGTGTTGTTTTGGTAAATTTACTGAAATATTGCCAGGTGAAATGATGTAGTGTCTGTAATTTGACTCCGTGAAGGGGATTGGAGGGAAGAGAGCATGGTCGGGGGTATAAATGATACATAATTGTCTACTAGCCATCAGTAGTTGAAGCTGGGTGATAATTACATGGAGGTCCATTCCATTCTTTTTCTGTTTTTTTAAATATTGGAAATTTTGGGGGTGCCTGGCTGGCTCAGTCAGGTAATGTCCAACTCTTGATTTCAGTTCAGGTTGTGATCTCAGGTTCATGAGATCGAGCCCCAAGCCCTGTGTAGGGCTCCACACTCAGCAGGGAGTTTGCTTTCCCCCCCCTCTCTCTCTCTCTCTCTCAAATAAATAAATAAATAAATCTTTGTAAAAATTAAAAACTAAAATAAATATTGGAAATAGTTCATAATAAAAATAATTCTGTGCATCACACTTTACCTCACTGATTTGGGGAGAAATATGAATACTGAATATTAAAATTTGTTGTCATTTTCATAAAGGAGCAAACGAACAAATAAGAGATGATTATAAATTACATCTAGGAAAAGTTGGTAGTTTTTTCCCCCCCCTTTAAAGAAGAATTCTGATAGCCTAACTGTGAAAACACCTGAATATTGGGATAAACTCCAGAGATCCCAAGCCCACCCTCAGGTTCCGTGATCTGCTAGGACCCGGTGATAGTCACAGCTATGTTTCACCATGAGAAGCTACAGAGCAAAGTCAGCAGAGGGAAAAGGGGCTTGGGGCACAGTCCCGAGGAAGCCAGATTCAAGCTGCCAAGAGCCCCTACCCAGTGGAGTCACACAAGATGCACTTCATTTTCCCAGCGAAGAGCTGTGATAATATGTGTGAAATTTTTACCAGGGTCTCATTAGAGACCCAGCACCCAGGGTTTTTACTGGGGGCTGCTCACATAGGCATGTCCCCCTAGTGTGTACCAAACTGGACCTTCCAGAAGGAAAGAGGCATTCAGTATAAACGACACGTTCTGTACAGATAGGTTAGGCACAACGAGCCATTCAGATTACAGAATGATGGCACTCCTCCTGCAATGCACATTCCCAGACGCCAGTCAGGGGGCAGCGTGATGAGCAGGCCTTCCTGAGGGGAGCAGTCTCTGATCTGCTGTGTGAACTTTCTTCTGCACAAGAGCTGTAAAAACAGTAGATCTTTGGAGACCAGGGACTAGACAGGGCATGGTTTGATGATTTTATTATCAATGTTATCGAATGTAGTTTTATTTCTTCTCCTTTTCTGAAATATAAAACGCTTTTTTCCTTAGCTATTAGAACATAAAGACAAAATCACAGCTTTTAGAGAGCTAATTGCAAAAGAAAAAGCATTTCAAGATCAGGTTTTTGAGGTGAGTTTAACATTTCCCATGTACTGTCTTTAACATGCAAAAATACGATTTCAAATATCTGTGTTCTCTTGGTATATTTGTCAAAATCCTTTTAGATCCAAGTTCTACACTTCTATTATTCTAGCCACTGAAGAGCTCTTTGATTGTTAAGCTTATAAAGTATTTATTATCAAATTTCCCAAGGAATGTGCAAGTATTGGAAGTGAGCACAAATGTATTTAATCTCAGTTTACAGGTTTTGATTCAGATGAAGCCACAAGTGCTGGAGATATACCCGTCTTACTGGGAACCAAACTGAATAGGTACCACAGTCTGAATGAAGAACCTGATTTCTTGATAAGAAAGACCTTTTGTTGATTTGCTGGCATTTTTATCCATAGCACCATTTTATTAACAAATTTAAGCCACCACCATTCTTACTATATCAGACTGTTCATTAAAACAGTCACATACTGGCACTGTGGCAGTATCATTCAACCATAAAAATATAGAATTAAAGTTTGCATTTTCAAGTTTTGAAATTTTACATCTTGTTCTACCTGACTCTTGTTTAGACTAATCAGATTTATTTCTTTCCAAATGCAGTAATCAAAAAAAGGGGTGCTGTTTTTCAGTGATTCAAACACATTTATGCTACCACCATTCTTTTTTTTAAGTTCATTTATTTATTTATTTATTTATAATCTCTACACCCAACATGGGGCTCTAACTCACAGTCCTCAGATCTAGAATTGCATACTCTTCCGACTGAGCCAGCCACCACCATTCTTAATTTATCAGTAGCTGTTTACAACAACTATGATTAAGGAGTACTTCGGGTAATAGTTCACTTTAGATGCTGTCTAAAGTTGAAGGCATCACTACAGAAAAGAAATGGTCATTATGTGATTTGATGGAGACGTTAGCTACTGCTGTGGTGGTGATCATTTTGCAGTACAGAATGTATGAAATCAGCATGCTGGACACCTTAAACTTACACAGTACTATGTGTCAGTTATATCTCAATAAAGCTGGAAAAAAATAAAGGCAGATGGAACAGGAAAAATATGTTATAAGAAAGTAAAAATGTGATCTTAGGGGCTGAGATCCTGGGGGTGGTTCAGTGGGTTAAAGCCTCTGCCTTCGGCTCAGGTCATGATCTCAGGGTCTTGGGATCGAGCCCCACTTCGCACTCTCTGCTCAGCAGGGACCCTGCTTCCCTTCCTTTCTGCCTGCCTCTCTGCCGACTTGTGATCTCTGTCAAATAAATAAATAAAATCTTTAAAAAAAAATGTGATCTTGGTATCTAGGTAGTTACAGAGTTGCAATCCAACTGGATCTCACATAAGAAAAGGTGATTAATTAATATAATTTATTTTTAATAGCAGTTAGAGAAGTCTACCATATTTCTAAATTGTTAAAAATTGGCATTCCGCAATAAATTCTTAGCATAACCATTCATCTTTGAGAGAGAAGAAAAAAATCCAATGTGGTGAGGGCTCAAAAGTTTCTCATAATTCACTATTCTTTTAAATTTAACAAGTAATTATTGACTTCTCACAAAAGGCTGAAAATGCTAGTCACTATGGGGGCAGAAGGCCAAATCAAACATGATCTCTGCTTCTAAGAAACCTGGAAAAGAAGATAAAATACATAAATAAGTGTTCACGAGGGATAAAAGGGAAGTTCCTTAAAAAGTGATACAGTGACCAGTGTCTAACAGGGGCAGTGTTTGTCTCATGATAAGCTCAGATGAGGAACAGATACTGTCCAAGTGGGGGAGTCATGCGACACCTTATGAAGGCAGTGGCAACTGGACTTTGAAGACTAATAAAATCTGAGCACAGGGAGATGAGAGGAGAGCCCTCAATCAATTCTGTCATTCATTAGTAGTTTCTGTGCTTTGGGCATAAAAGTCAATACAAGTGGACATTCCTCTTCCCAGCGGTGGGAGGCTGGAATGAGAAAGAGGACACAGCTAGAAGCATGTCAGACACACTATGTTGTTTCTAGTATGTGCCGCAGGCTACTTGTACAAACTGTCTCTCAGAAAAACCGAATAATTGATGAGGGAGGGAAAGCTCCTCACTGAAAAGGTAAGCTACTAAAAGCAGAAAAGAAAAGGGATCTTTTGGGGGCAATTATAATGGCTGCTAAAATCTTACATTCAAGACTGAGGGGGAGGTTTTCGCTTTTTGCCTTTTTTCTTTCTTTTTTTGAGAGAGAGTGAGTGTTGGTGGTGTTGAGGAAACAGAAGGAGAGGGAGAGAGAGAGAGAATTCCAAGCAGACTCCAGATCCAGCACAAAGCCTGATGCAGAACTCAATGTGAGGTTCAGTCTCACCACCCTGAGTTCATGACCCGAGCCAAAATCAAGAATCGGATGCTTAACCGACTGAGCCAGCCAGGCGCCCCTGAGGGGAGCTTTTAATGAATGGGTCAATCTGACAAGCTCCTGAGCTTGTTAATCAATCTCAAGCCACTAAAGGTGAGCCACGCACACCCCCTGATGTGATGCAAGAGGACAGGCACAGCAGATCTATGAAGTCTTCTCACCAAAACAGCTGGATCCGAAAGCCGACTTCTAGACTGAACTATCCTGACCGTGGATAAATATAGATGACACCATGATAACAAATCCAGAGTGGAGAAGATTTGCATCAGCAAATACTTGGCACAAGAAAAGGGAGGGAGAGGAAAGGAATAGTTGGTATCGACAGTGGAGACAACGAACACATCAACCAAATGTGTGTGACACCTGTGTAGGTCCTGATTCGAACAAACCTACTCTAAAAAGGTATTTGTCAGAGAGCAGAAAAAGGAACACATTCTGATATTAGAGAATATTAATATTTTAATATCATTAATTTTAATATTGATATTGTGCTTTTAGTTAATTTTTTTAAGTTTTATTTATATAATATAATACCCAATGCAGGGCTGGAACTCACAGCCCCTGAAATCAAGAACTGTATACTTCTCTGACTGAGCCAGCCAGGCACCCAAGTATCATTGTGTTTTTAAAACCCCTTATGTGTTACATATAGAAAAGTATTTATGAGTGAATTAATAGGATGTTTAATTTTGCTTTATTTTTTTCTCAATTTAAATTCAACTAATTAACATATAATGTATTACGAGTTTCAGAGGTAGAGTTCAGTGATTCCTCATTTTTTTTTTTTAAAGCTTGGGTATAAGTGATAAGGGTAGCAGCCAGTATAGCTTCTTAGTTCTGTTTTTTTTGTTTTGTTTTGTTTTATTTTTAGATCACTTGTCAGAGAGAGAGCACACAAGCACAAGCAGGGGGAATGGCAGGCAGAGGGAGAAGCAGGCTCCCAGCCAAGCAGGGAGCTGAATGGCAGATTTGATCCCAAGACCCTGGGATCACGACCTGAGCCGAAGGCAGACACCCAATTGACTGAGCCACCCAGGCATCCCTCATCATTCTCATATAATACCCAATGCTCATTATATCACATGCCCTCCTTAATATACATCACCTATGATTAAGAGTCTCTTACGATTTTTCTCCCTTTCTGATTTCGTCTTGTTTTATTTTTCCCTCCCTCCCCCTATGATCTTCTGCACATATAAGTGAAACCATATGATAATTGTCTTTCTCTGATTGACTTATTTTGCTTAGCATCATACCCCCTCGTTCCACCCACAGTATTGCAAAAATGGCAGGATTTTATTTTTTTTGATGGCTGAGTATTCCATTGTAGATATATACCACATCATATTTATTCATTCATCTGTCAGTGGACATCTGAGCTCTTTCCATAGTTTGGCTATTGTGGTCATTGCTGCTATAAACACTGGGGTGCACGTCCCCCTTCAGTTCACTACATTCATATCTTTAGGGTAAATACCCATTAGTGCAGTTGCTGGGTCATAGGGTAGCTCTGTTTTCAACTTTTTGAAGAACCTCCTTATTGTTTTCCAGAGTGGCCACACCAGCTTGCATTCTCACCAACAGTGTAGGAGGGCTCCCCTTTCTCCGCATCCTCGCCAGCATCTGTCGTTTCCTGACTTGTTAATTTTAGCCATTCTGACTGGTGTGAGGTGGTATCTCATTGTGGTTTTGATTTGTATTTTCCTGATGCCAAGTGATGCGGAGCATTTTTTCCTGTGTCTGTTGGCCATCTGGATGTCTTCTTTGAAGAAATGTATGGTCATATCTTCTGCCCATTTCATGATTGGGTTATTTGTTCTTTGGATGTTGAGTTTGGTAAGTTCTTTATAGATTTTAGATACTAGCCCTTTATCTGAAGTCATTTGCTAGTATCTTCTCCTATAGAGTGGGTAGGTTTGCTTTTAAATACTCCAGGGAAATGAAAACATGGCAGAATTGGGGAGGTGGGAGGTTGGAGACAGATGAAAAGACGATGGAAAAATATTGATAATTGTTGAAGTTAAGTGATGGACACACAGTGCTTCATTATTTGCTCTACTTTTGTATGTGTTTGGAATTTTCCGAAGAGTTTTTGAAATGCAGAAGCGTGCTCCAGAAGGCTCATTTCTCATTCTCTAAGGAGCTCTAGGCCAGCAAGACGTGGTCTGCTAGAGCAAAATTAGATGGCTTATGTGTCCTTTACTATTGTCATGTGCTTATCTCATGGCCCTTCTGACCCCTTGCTTTTGGTTCTTCACAATTCTGAACTTCCTGTTCCTTTCACCTTCTGACCTCCTCCAGCTTGAGATAGGGTCTTTGACCCCAGCTGCACCTACTGCTGGGCTCTAATAACACCGCGGGTATTTAACTGTCAGGGACAAAAATGTCTCCTGATCCTAGGTGCCTTGGATAAAGTACACCGAAGTCAGGGATTTGGTCAGAGTGAACAGACGAGAGTCTAGTTAACAGTGCTGTGGTTTAGGGTTCAGGTTAGGCTAATAATAATGATTCCTCAAGGTCCTCCTAGAGCCCATCTTCAGTAAAATAGTAATCTTTTTATAAAAATAAAATTTTTTAGGGGTACCTGGGTGGCTCGTCAGTTAAGCATCTGCCTTCAGCTTAGGTCA